TCAGGGCTTTGTGATGGCCACTCCAAAACATTCACTCTGTTGTCCTTAAAGCACATTTGAACTAGTTTGGCAGTGTGCTTAGGCTCATGGTGTGTCTGGAAGAGCCATTTGAGGCCAAGTTGTAATGTCCTGGCTGATGTGTTGAGATGTTGCTTCAGTATTTCTCCATAATGTTCTGTCTTCATGATGCCATCTATGCTGTGAAGTGGACCAGTCCCTCCTGCAGCAAAACAGCCCCACATCATGACACTGCCGCCCCCATACTGCACAGTTGGGATGGTGTTCTAGGCTTGTGCGCTTTCCCCTTTGTCCTCTGAATGTAACACTGCTCATTATGGCCAAACAGTTCAATCTTAGCTCCATCAGAGCACAGGACATGTCTCCACACATCAGTCTTTTCCCAGTGTCATTCAGCTAATGGTAATCTGGCTTTGTTGTTGATTCTCCATGTTGTCACAGAAGGAAGCAGTGTGTTTGAGCTTTTCCTTCAACACTATTCTACAGTTGTGCCTCACATTAACTCAAATGTTGTCAATTAGCCAATCAGAAACCTCCAAAACCCTGACATCATCATCTGAGCTTTTCCAGAGGCAGAATAATCTTATTGTGTGTAAACTTGACTTTCAAGAAGAGTTAAAACAATTTCTCAAACAATCTCTCACATTATTCTGCTGTTGAGCAGAACAGAAACACAAGTGATCATCCTCACTTACCTAAAAGAGAACAAGTTTAATCACATTAACATCTGACTTGTTTTAAATGCTTATGTGCCTTTTATACAGTGGACTTCTGCTTTCAACTGTATTTATTCATTCAGATTAGTTTCTATTTCCGAGTTCGCCACAGCGGAATGAACCGCCAACTATTCCAGCATATGTTTTATGCAGCAGATTCCATTAATTTTATTGCAATGAATATAAATAAAGAAACCTCTAGGGGTGACGCAGTGGCGCAGTAGGTAGTGCTGTCGCCTCACAGCAAGAAGGTCGCTGGTTCGAGCCTCGGCTTGGTCAGTGGGCGTTTCTGTGTGGAGTTTGAATGTTCTCCCCGCATTCATGTGGGTTTCCTCCGGTTTCCCCCACAGTCCAAACACATGCGGTACAGGTGAATAAGCTGAATTGTCCATAGTGTATGAGTGTTTCCCAGAGATGGGTTGCAGCTGGAAGAGCATCAGCTGCGTGAAACATATGCTGGATAAGTTGGTGGTTCATTCCGCTGGAGCAACCCCGGATTAGTAAAGGGACTAAGCCGAAAAGAAAATGAATGAATGAATGAATGAAAGAAAGATCTAAAAGAACAGAAGGAAGCCTGTGAGACTCTCAGAAACTGATCAAAATATACAATTTATTGAAAATATGTTAATACAGTGATCAGTGTGTTCCAGTAATTATAAAATCAGTAGTTGTGATGGTGGTGTGACAGTAGAAACGGAAGCAGAATAACGTGAACATCTCTACGTGTGTGTTCGAGCATCACACACAGGCTACAGAATACTGCTTTGTGCTGATCTGGAGTCAGTTCTTCATATTAACACAGTAAATTCAGTCTCTCCGCTCAGATTCCTGCCATTATTTACATTCTTTCCCGCCTTCTGACGCATGAATGCCGTGAGTGTTGCCGAGGAGGCGGGGCTACAGGGGTGGCACTGGAACCTCATTGGCTGATTCTGCTGTCAATCATCTGGAAGACTTTGGCACCCGAGAGCGTCATAACGGAGCAGAACGAAACATGCCAGAAGTGATCATACAGAGAATAAATAATAACTCATCATAATCCCTCCGGCTGATCCACAACTCACACTGACGCTCATAAACAAACTGATCACACCTCACATTCTTTTGCACAAAGAAAAGCTTCGCATTAAGCTCAGAATTAAGCATTTGACCCCTATAGTATCATACAAATGTGCATTAATCTAACACAAAAAAGTGTTGTTAATATTATTATCACGTACAGTTGTATTTCTGTGCATACAATTAACCCCCAAAAATAATAATGTCACACACACAATAAAAGAAACAGGCTTTTCTTTCTGCAAAACTGCTTTGTATGGAAGCATATGAGCAGCAGAATTCATTTTGAAATGTAATGTTTAATATACGGGTCCTTCCTATGCTTTTAGCACTATTTCTGAAGTTATTATGAAGCTTGCTGGATTGTGCATTGTGTTTTTTAATATTGTTAGTACGTTTTTTGTCTCTTTATGTGTTTGTTGTATCATGAAATGCCACTGCCCTAATGTAATTACCCCTGGTGGGATTAATAAAGTTCTTAAACTTAGGTATTATGCAAAATTGCAATGCAATATAATAATATTAACGCTGTCAAAACAATTAATCACATCCTAAATCAAATCACATTAACAAAATATATGTGTGAACTGTATTTTTTAAGTATTTAACTATATTTGTCCATTCATTTTCCTTCATCTTAATCTCTATTTCAGGGGTCACAACAGCAGAATGAACCGACTACTAATCTAGAATATGTTTTACACGGCGAAAGCCCGGAACACCCATACACACTCTCAATCACACACACACTCATACACCACGGTCAGTGTAGTTGATCAGTTCCCCTATAGTGCATGTGTTTGGACTGTGGGGGAAACCGGAACACCCAGAGGAAACCCACGCCAACACGGGGAGAACATGCAAACTCCACACAGAAACACCAACTGACCCAGCCGAGACTCAAATCAGAGACCTTCTTACTGTGAGGCCACAGTCCTGACCACTGAGCCGCCGTGTCGGCCTATATAAATATATGCATGACTATATTGTATACTATATATATGTATATAGTATACAAGGCTTGAACCAGCGACCTCCTTGCTGTGAAGCGACAGGGCAACCATGCCGCCCTAGATGAAAGTTCATATTTCAAAATATTTACATGTGTATTGTAAATATGTAAATATTTATCTAGTGCATGGTTGCACTGTCGCTTCAAAGCAAGAAGGTCGCTGGTTCGAGCCACGGCTGGGTAAGCTGGTGTTTCCCCCACAGTCCAAACACAAGCGCTATAGGGGAACTGAGTAGGCTAATTTGTCCTAGTGTGTGTTTGTGAATGAGTGTGTATGGGTGTTTCACAGTGATGGGTTGCAACTGGAAGGGCATTCACTGCGTAAAACATATCCTGGAATAGTTGGCGGTTCATTCCGCTGTGGCGACCCCAGATTAATAAAGGGACTAAGCTGAAAAGAAAATGAAAGAATGAAACTTTTATCCCGGATGCGATTATGATTAATCAGTTGACAGCACTATTAAATACATACATGTGTTTAGGACTAATTGTACAAATATAATATTTTAATACTGTAATATTTAATATATTGTACAAATATAATATTTAATATTTTAATACTGTAATATTTAATATATTGTACAAATATAATATTTAATATTTTAATACTGTAATATTTAATATATTGTACAAATATAATATTTAATATTTTAATACTGTAATATTTAATATATTGTACAAATATAATATTTAAATAATCATTTTGCTGCCTGCCATTTCTGCTTGTGTGTTACCTATATTAGTTTAATTTGAATATTACAGAGCTCAGCATAATTGAGTACGGCCCATTTCGAAAGAATATTTTTATCCATTTCTCAGTGAATATTGACCATATTCTTCAATGTGGAAGTGCGCTCATATTTTGCGAGTGATTTAGAAACGTATGATTCAGCTGCATATGGGATAAATGGCTATAGGAATAAAAAAAACGGCAGAAAACGGTCAAACTACTTGCTCTACAAACAGGTGTGTGCATGATTATACAGACAAAGCAGAATTATATAATAAGAAAACATCAGTTTGCAACATCCAGCAGCAAAACAAGCTGTTTATAACCTGGAATGGAATGAATGGAAGTGAACATGAGCGGAGATCTCAAGCCAAAACCATTAAAATGGATGCACCTGCTAGTCCGCTGAGAATAAGGTGAACAGGCGATGTGTTTTATTGCATTTAAACAGATTCATTAAACAGATTTATTTATTAAAATTATATTTTAGTCATCAAACATATTAAGCAATCGACAGATTCTACAATTAAATGCAAGCTAAATATTGCAAAAATTTAATTTACAAAAAATTTAATTTGTTTATTTTTTGCTGCTCTTGATTTGTCCTCTTTGGTAAATGTGTATTTAATATTTTTCTCTAACACGTACATTTGGCTGTGCTAGTGTTTGGGCCTTTATTGTAAGCTATTTTGTCAGATGAGCTCTAGATTTGGCTTCAGGACTGACTAATCTAATGTATCTGCACCAATATAATATTGTAGAGCTTCCTATTAAACATATGAGTTTAAAAGAGAGATTTGTGAAGGGTCAACTTACATATGCTGAGCACTGTATATATATATATATAACATACAGCAGGGGTGTCCAAACTCGGTCCTGGAGGGCCGGTGTCCTGCTGAGTTTAGATCCAACTTGCTTCAACACACCTGCCCGGAAGTCTCTAGTGTATCTAGTAAGAGCTTGATCAGCTGCTTCGGGTGTGTCTGATTAGGGTTGGAATGAAACTCTTCGGGACAGTCCTGGAGAGTTCAGCTCCAACCCGAATCAAACACACCTGAACTAATCAGACTCTTACTAGATAAACTAGAAACCTCCGGGCAGGTGTGTTTGGACAGCATTCAAATTATCATGTAATTTATATATTAAAACTGTGTTTAGGCACATGTCAATTATTTAATTTCATTTACATAATCATTTTGCACCAAACTTTGCACATATTAAGAGGAATGTACAGTGAATTACTGAAACACATCACTATTTTATATTGCAGATTACATATTGAAATGAATCTGCTGCTCATCTGCTTCTCTGGCTTTGCTTTAGTGTGACGTGAGTTTAGGAGCCGTCAGATATACTTCATCTGGTCATTATTATTATTATAACACTGCTATAGAAAAATACTGACGTAAAGGACGCGTCTCCATTCATTTGTGCACTTCATCTCTCTGTAAAACAATAAATAATCTTATAGAACAGTGGCTTTATGCACATATACAAATAAATACTGTACACACACACACAAACACACACACACACACAGCAGATTCTCTCTTCTGTACAACATTACACATCAGTGGAAAAGTCAAGCATCGCTCACACATTCAACCTGCACGGCCTGAATGATGTCACTTCCTTCCTCTTCTTGAGCGTTTCTCTGTTCTGTGAGGTTCAGAGAGCGGTCAGGACTGCAAACATCACAGAAGAGCTGCGTCTGAAATCACACATCACTCATGCAGGGTCTGCAAGTTCATTTGACATTTTACTCACATCATGAACTCTCTCACCCTGAGATTCATTAGATGCACACTGCAGATCTGGCCGCTATCTGTACGGGATTTTTGAAGCAGTGAGTGACTCACTGAAGCTGTGTGTTTGATTCACTGAAGCTTTGAGTGATTCACTGAGCAACTCGCTGAAGCTGCGTTAAATTCACTGATGCTTTGTAAGATTCACTAAGTGACTCACTAAACTGTGTTTGATTCACTAAGTGACTCACTGAAGCTTTGTTTGATTGTCTGGGTGACTCACAGAAGCTGTGTTTGATTCACTGAGTGACTCACTGAAGCTTTGTTTGATTCACTAAGTGACTCACCGAAACTGTGTGTTTGGTTCACTAAAGCTTTGTCTGATTCACTAAGTGACTCACTGAAGCTTTGTTTGATTCACTGAGTCACTCACATAAGCTGTGTTTGATTCACTGAGTGACTCACTGAAGCTTTGTTTGATTCACTAAGTGACTCACCGAAGCTGTGCTTTTGATTCACTGTAGCTATGTTTGATTTACTGAGCAATTCACTGAAGCTGTGTGTTTGATTTACTGAGCGAATCACTGAAGTTGTGTTTGATTCACTTAGCGAATCACTGAAGCCGTGTATGATTCACTGAAGTTGTAATTGATCCACTGAATGACTCACTGAAGTTGTGTTTGATTCACTAAGTGACTTACTGAAGTTAAAATTGATTCACTGAGTGACTCACTGAAGCTGTGTGCTTGATTCACTGAAGTTTTGATTGATTCACTGAATGACTCACTGAAGTTGTTTGATTCACTGAGTGACTCACTGAAGCGGTATGTTTGATTCACTGAGCAAATCATTAAAGTTGTGGTTGATTCAATGAAGCTTTTTTTTGATTCACTGAGTGACTTACTGAAGTTGTGTTTGATCCACTGAGCAATTCCTGAAGTTTAGTTTAATTCACTGAACGATTCACTGAAGCTGTGTTTGATTCACTGAATGACTCACTAAAGTTTTGTTTGATTCACTAAGTGACTCATTGAAGTTGTGTTTGATTCACTGAAGCTGTGTTTGATTCACTGAGCGACTCATTGAAGTTGTGTTTGATCCACTGTGCAATTCCTGAAGTTTAGTTTGATTCACTGAACGATTCACTGAAGCTGTGTTTGATTCACTGAGTGACTCACTAAAGTTTTGTTTGATTCACTAAGTGACTCATTGAAGTTGTGTTTGATTCACTGAAGCTGTGTTTGATTCACTGAGTGACTCACTGAAGTTTTGTTTGATTCACTAAGTGACTCATTGAAGTTGTGTTTGATCCACTGAGCAATTCCTGAAGTTTAGTTTGATTCACTGAACGATTCACTGAAGCTGTGTTTGATTCACTGAGTGACTCACTAAAGTTTTGTTTGATTCACTAAGTGACTCATTGAAGTTGTGTTTGATTCACTGAAGCTGTGTTTGATTCACTGTGTGACTCTCTGAAGTTTTGTTTGATTCACTAAGTGACTCATTGAAGTTGTGTTTGATTCACTGAAGCTTTGTTTGATTCACTGAGTGACTCAGTTGCATCGCTTCACTCTCACTCATCTTTGGCGTTGCATTATGGGACAGTAACGTGTCTCCTGTTTACGTGATTTCAGACGCAGCCAAGGATTTGTGAAACCTCCGAGCTGCAGCCCATCAGGCGCTTGGGGTTGTGTGATTGGCCGGTGCAGACCTATGCAATGCAGCAGCAGCTGTGACTCTTGGGATCCTCTTCTTCGATTGGCTGCTTGAACCTCAGGAGGGGTGGGTCTCCGCTAGCAGGTGTGAAGTAAACCGCGCTGCCATTGGACGAGACGAGTGGCATGCGGGGGTCGTCAGGGAGGGGCTTAGAGGAGCCGTTGCCTAGGTGACCATTGAGGACGGGGTGATGCAGGAGTTTGGCGGCGGCGGCAGATCGCTGCTTCTTCAGTTCTGACAGAGTCTGAGCCTTCAGCTTGGGCTCCTCAGCGGAGGTCACAGGGTCACCGGGGACAGGAGGGGTCATGGGGTCAGGAGGGGTCAGTGGGTCACCGTTTGGAGATGGACTGGAGATACAGCCATTCTGTCCACTGTCTTTCAGGATGCCTGGAGATTGAGGGCCCTCAGTAGGCTGCATCTGCACACACACAAGCAATGTCAAGTGTACACTGATTATTTAGCGAATCATTCAGTGTATGTATTTATTTATTTTATTTTATTTTTTTATTATTCATTAATTATTAATGGCATTTATTTATTTATTAAGTAATTAATTTATCTATTAATTCATTTATTTATTCATTCATTATTTTATTCATTTATTAATTAATCTATTAATTTATGTATTTGTTTATTTATTAATTATTCAATTTATTTATTAGTTTTTTATTTAACTAATTTATTAATACATTTATTTATTATTTCATTCATTCATTTATTTATTTATTTATTTAGTTATTCAATTATTTATTTATTAATTATCTAATTATTAATTATTTTATTTATTTATTTATTAAATATATTTAAATATACATTAATATATTTATCAATTAGATTATTTATCCATTTATTTACTAATTTATTTATTCATTTATTAATTTATTTATTCGTTTATTAATTAATTGTTTGTTTATTTATTCATTTATTTATTTATCTATGTAAATTCGCGCAAAATATATATTTATTCACAGTTTATATTAAGTTTAGTAATATAATTGACTTTTTGTTTACATAACTTATGTACAATACAGTTGATCAAGTTATATTTTCTGTCCAACAGTAGAGATATTAAATGAAAGACTTGCTTTGTTCACTAAACATCTTTGTTCACTAATTGCATCTGCATTGTAAACTTTAAATGAAATAGTTACTTTAAGTGTTTAGTTACTGAACTCCCAAAATCAAACTTTGAACTAAATTCTGTGCAGAAAGAGCTGGCCCTGATAATGAGGAATAAAGTAAATAGTTACAGTAATTAAACCACTTTCCATTGAAAAAGTAAACAGTTTTATAGGTCACTTAATTACAGTTACTTATACTTGCCTTAATCACTGTAAACACATCTAAGAGATCTGTATAAACCAATTCAGAGAAGCAGAGAAACACACACTGCAGAACAGCCTTCATCATTTATCAAGACAACTGGATATAGTTCACCCAAACATGAACATTCACCCACTGTTTACTCTCCCTCAAGTGGCTATTCTGATTGTTAAGGGAAAAACAAATACTATAGAAGTCAATGGTTACAGGTTTCCAACATTCTTCAAAACATCTTCTTTTGTGTTCAGAAGAAAGGAAAACTGCTAATAATCATTATGTTGCTGATGAAAGCAAAGTGTGTGTGTGTGTGTGTGTTACCGTGTGGCTGTTCTCCTGGTCAGACTCTCGCTCTCGTTCTTCTTTTTCTCGTCCTCCTCTCCACACGATGGCTTCAGTCTGATACTCTTTCCTGCACAGATTGTGTCTGTCGGAGAGACTCGCCCGCCGCACCACTTTCCTGGAACACACACACGCAGAGACACACATTCAGCTCAACACATGCAGATGCTCACACTGATTGAGTACATGCAAAAGAAGATCCTCTTCAGTGTGTGTGTGTGTGTGTGTGTGTGTGTGTGTGTGTGTGTTTGTGTCTGGCTGTGTATCTTTGCGAGTGTCCAGCAGGTGGTGTGTGTGAGCACATGCAGTGAGTGTGTCTGTCCAGCAGGTGTCAGTGTATGTCCAATATTTATGCAGGGTATATATATTTGTGTGTGTGTGTGTGCGTCTGTGTGTGCGTGCTGGCATTTGTGTGTTCATGTTTTGATATAGTCTTTGGGACTGTGCATTAATGTTTGTGTCTGAATATGTGGTTGTGTTCATGTTTGTGTGTTTACGTGTGTGTGTGTGTGTGTGTGTTTGCATGTGTTTAAATGTGTGTGTGTGTGTGTGTGTGTGTGTGGTTGTGTGCATGTTTGTGTGTGTTCATATGTGTGTGTGTGTGGGAGTGTGAGTGTTTGCATATGTTCAAATGTATGTGTGTGTGTGTGTGGTTGTGTGCATGTTTTTGTGTGTATGTGTGTTTTTGTTAGCTTTTTTCATGAGTGCATGTGTGTCTCCATTTGTGCATGTGTGTCTCCATTTGTGCATGTGTGTGTGTGTGTGTGTGTGTTACCCGCGGCTGCCTGCGCTGCTGGTTCTGCGGCACAGTGACGTTTTGTGCTTCAGTTGTGACTTCATGATGATGTCGTGTTTGTGCTTCAGCTCCAGAAGATGATTCCTGAACTCCTCATCCTCACACAGATCTACAACCACACACACACACACACACCAAATATGCACCAAATATTATTGTCTATATTCACTGCCGCCTGTATGGCTTCTTACAGTGCTGACTAGTGGTTTAAGTAGTGTGTGTTTAGGTGTGTGTGCATTTGTGTCTGAGTGTGCATGTGTTAGTGTATTTGCAGGTTTGTGCATATGTGTTTGAGTGTGTGTGCGTGTGTGCGCGTGTTTGCATCTGCTCATATACTGTAGATGTGTGTGTAATTAGAGAAACTGATCAAAATATAAATCTTCTAAAGGGGGCGTGGTCATTTATGCTGAGCACTGTGTGTGTGTGTTTGTGTGTGTATAATACACAACATTAGTCTGATATAATGAGCCAGACGCTCTGGAGTCTGTGGTTCAGACCAGAAACCTTCAGATCAGAGAGTGTGTGTGTGTGTGTGTGTGTGTGTGTGTGTGTGTGTGTGTGTGTGTGTTTGTGTTCACCTATAGGCGTCTCCTCCATGTAGGTCTTGGCGTTCAGACTGGCTCCATGAGAAACCAGCAGCTCCGCCACTTGAACCTGCAGCAGGAGACATGCTAATTAATATTCATTAGCGCTGCAATTAGCATAATTTATTCACATTATTCCTCCAACCCAGAGGTGGAAAGTAACAAAGTACAAATACTTCGTTACTGTACTTAAGTGGATTTTTCTGTATTCAGTACTTTACTCCACCATTTATTTTTATGACAACCGTTTACTTTCACTCCTTACATTTTTAATTTTATTTCTGAAGCAACATCTCAAGACCTCAGCCAGGACATTACAACTTGGCCTCAAATGTCTCTTCCAAACACACCATGAGCCTAAGCACACAGCCAAATGAGTTCACATGTGCTTTAGGGGCAACAGAGTGAATGTTTTGGAGTGGCCATCACAAAGCCCTGATCTCAATCCTATAGAGAATGTGTGGGCAGAGTTGAAAAAGCTTGTGTGAGCAAGACAGCCTACAAATCTGACTCAGTTACAGCAATTCTGCAGGAGGAATGAGCCAAAACTCCTGCAAACTATTGTGGAAGCTTGTGGAAGGAGACCCAAAACATCTGACCAAAGTTAAACAGTTAAAAAGCAAAACTAAAATATACCAAGGAAATGTGTGTAAACTATTGACTGACTAGAAATTAATAATAAATTCTCTCATTATTCTGGCATTTAGCAAATGTAAATCATTTAATTAATACTAACAGACCTAAAATAGTAAACGCTTAGTATCATTTACCATCAGACACTTTAAAAAAAATGGTTATGCTCCTTTTTTAGAGTATATGTAAACTTCTGCTTTCAACTATATATATATATATATATATATATATATATATATAAAGTGTGTATATACTGTATAATGTAAATATTAGGGGTGTAACGATACACCAAAGGCATAATTCAGTTTGGTTCATGGTTTTGGAGCCATGGTTCGGTTCGGTTCTGTTCAGTTGGGTTTCTGTTTGCTGTGGGGTTAGGGTTGATGTCATCTTAACAGCAGTGCTAAGGAACAATAGATTCACTAAATAACAAGAACATCTTAACTTTTTCTTTATCAACTTTGCCATCAGATTTTAGTACAGTCAGGATACACGAGTAAACAACTAAAATTAAATAAATACCTCCAATATAGACTAGGCAGAAAAAACTATTCTCTTTAGTGCAGCCATCGTAACTAAGTAAAGTAAAATGAAATAAAAAACTGCAGTGTAGACTAGTGACAGATCAACAGGCTTGTCCTCTCTGAGGACATTAGGAATATTCAATGAAGTTTTCAGTTCTTCTTCGAGAACATCATCATGTCCACATTCTCAGGTGAGAGGCTGTGCAGACACAGACATAATGCTCAGTTTTGATTATCTAAGTTTTCATTTAGATAGATGGGGTTCTGATTAAATTAATGATAAGATATACATATAATGTGTTGTTCAGTGTTTTTACATGACATATTCACCAGTAAAATACAGTGCAGTTTAGTCTGTTAGGGTTGTAGCGGTATACAGGTGGTATTTTTGCCTCCCGTTCTCTCTCTCTTTCTCTCTCGCTCGCTCTCTCCATTTCTGTAGGTCCGCCTTCACGACAGCTGATTGGTCAGGAGACCGATCTATCATCATTGGGTGACGTGGCGCGGGGATATAAAAAGCCAGTCAGGAAGAGCGGGAGAGAGCGCGGTTTTTCCTCTGATCTGGTTTTTGGTGTGTTTTGCTGGCATGATTGTGATTTTCGTTGTTTTTGCTTTGCTTTCATTTGGGTAAAATTATTTTGCATGACTTTTGCCCACTTTGAGAAGTTTTTGCACATTGTTTTTCCTGATTGATTGACTGTTAGTTATTTTTTGGCTCAGCTCTTTCCGTCATATTGAGCTTTACCTCCTCAAGTTCACTCTTTTCTCAGAGTGAGGTGGACAGGGAAGATGTCGTATGACTTCCATTTTGCAAACACGTAGATAATGTATTGTTAAAGACATCAGGTAAGAGAGGAACGCCATCTTTGTTTCTATTTGATTCTACAGTTCAGTACAGGGAAGAATACAGCACTGAAGACTTTTCTTATCATTAGTTAGTGAGGTTAGGGCTCATTCATGAGTTAGAACTGTTTTTTATTTTCTTTCTTTTGCTTGGCTTCACTATCGTCCCCTTACTCGAGCTGAACTCATTTTTGTTTGATATTTTTGTTTGAATTTGCTACTTTATTATATTATTTTTATTAGTGTAAATATTCCTCTTTTTTGTATATATCTGGGCATTATTCTGCTTTCACTTTTGTACATTAAATACTTTTGTTGGCAGTTCTGTTGTCAGTCTTTTGCTTACACCCTCACATGGTGAAATTTCCACACGTTTTAGATGTTATTCCTTATAAGTGAGTTTCGTGAAAGTTACGACAGATAGTGTGCGCTTTGTCTACGACATGAATTTCATTCCTGTACTCCACTAAAAAACCAAAATGTTCCCACACAGGCGACTTAACTGTGTCTGGGGGATCTGCAATCTCAGTACTGTGAAGCAGCCATCCTGCGTATACAGTAGTAACCGAATGTGATCGCTCACTCAAGTCACATGACATGGAAAAACGAACTTTATAATATAATATTTAGAACTAAAGCTCATCATTACTGATACAATTTAATCAAACATGATCAAATAAAGATGTTTAAATTGGTTCAATTAGGGACAAGTGACGTCAACCTCAACAATGGGCAGCAGTGGGCTTGAGAGTACCGCAGTACGCCACGAGAGTTTCACGATGTGTATCATGGTTGTTGTATCGCGATATTTTGGTATGGTTTGTAATATCGTTACACCCCTTATATATATATATATATATATATATATATATATACACACAATTATTTAAAAATTATATGCATTAAATGCTATAAATATTTGTAGAATGTAGAGTGTGTGTGTGTGTGTGTGTGTGTTGACCTGTCCCCAGCATGCAGCAGCGTGCAGTGGTGTCCATCCGTCTGAGTCTCTCATGTCTGATCGAGCTCCGGCGTCTAAGAGCAGCTCTGCAGCCTGAGTATAACCGTTTGCTGATGCGATGTGCAGCTGAAAACACACACAAATACACACACACACACACACATGCATATATTTCGTAAGTATGTGTGTTTAAGTGTGTGTGTGCACATGTGTATGTGTGTCTATGACTGAATGTGTGTGTTTGTGTGTGTGTTTGTATATGCGTGTGTGTGTGTGTGTGTGTGTGTGTATGTGTGTGCGTGTATGCATGAGTGTGTATCTACTGAAAGTGTGTGTGTGTATGCATGTATGTGCAAGTGTGTGTCTGTCTGCTACTGAATGTGTGTGTGTGTGTGTATGACTGAGTGCGTGTGTATGTGTTTGTGTGTATGCATGTATGTGTATGTGCATGTGTGTGTATGTCTGTGTGTGCGCATGTATGCGTCTGTGCATTTATGCATGGGTGTGTCTGTCTGTGACTGAATGTGTGTGTGTCTAAGTTAGTATCTGTCTGTGTATGACTGAATGTGTGTGTACCAGCGTGGCCCCCTGTGAGTCGTGATGGTTGACGTCCGCTCCCTCCTGCAGGATCTTCTGAATATCTCCCAGCATGCTCCGCTCCACTGCCGCTCTCGTCTCATTGATCATCTCCTGCGTGATGCCTGTCATGATTGGACAATACAGCTGTCAATCAAACAATCAGACCAATAATCAGAATAATACCCAGCAGGCTTGACTCTAATGAACCCGCAGAGAGTAAATGATGTTAATAACACACTGTCAGACTGCCTGAGTGAAGATGCACACAATAATCACACTGTTTTATTCTGTTCATGGCAGAATCAGACCAAAAAGCACAACCTTTCTAAATCTGGTCCTTTGTTAGCTTCTTAGTATTTAAAATGGCTATTTAGAATTATGTCTATATTTTGTACATCCCCATACTGTGTGTGTATGTGTGTGTGTAATCAAACTGTGTTTTATATGATGCAAAAGCGATATACACTCACCGGCCACTTTATTAGGTACACCTGTCCAATTGCTCGTTAACACTAATGTCTAATCAGCAGCTCAATGCATTGGCATGTAGACATGGTCAAGAGGATCTGCTGCAGTTCAAAGTGAGCATCAGAATGGGGAAGAAAGGGGATTTAAGAGACTCTGAACGTGGCATGGTTGTTGCTGCCAGACGGGCTGCTCTGAGTATTTCAGAAACTGCTGATCTACTAGGTTTTTTACGCACAACCATCTCTAGGGTTTACAGAGAATGCTCCGACAAAGAGGAAATATCCAGTGAGCGGCAGTTCTGTGGGCGCAAATGCCTTGTGGATGAGGCCAGAGGTCAGAGGAGAATGGCCAGACTGGCTCCAGCTGATAGAAAGCCAACAGTAACTCAAATAAGCACTCGTTACAACCGAGCTCTGCAGAAGAGCATCTCTGAACACACAACACGGCCAACCTTGAGGCGGATGGGCTACAGCAGCAGAAGAGCACACCGGGTGCCGCTCCTGTCAGCTAAGAACAGGAAACTGAGGCTACAATTCACACAGACTCACCAAAACTGGACAATAGAAGATTGGAGAAACGTTGCTGCTCTGATGAGTCTCCATTTCTGCTGACACATTCAGATGCTCGGCTCAGACAACATGAAAGCATGGATCATCCTGCCTTGTATCAGCGGTTCAGGCTGGTGGTGGTGGTGTAATGGTGTGGGGGAGATTTTCTTTGGGTCCATTAGTACCAATTGAGCATCAACGCCACAGCCTACCTGAGTATTGCTGCTGACCATGTCCATCCCTTTATGAGCACAGTGTCTCCATCTTCTGATGGCTACTTCCAGCAGGATAACGCAGCATGTCATAAAGCTCAATCATCTCAGACTGCTTTCTTGAACATGACGATGAGTTCACTGTACTCAAATGGCCTCCACAGTCACCAGAGCTCAATCCAATAGAGCAGCTTTGGCATGTGGTGGAACGGGAGATTGGCATCATGGATGTGCAGCCGACAAATCTGCAGCAACTGTGTGATGCTCTCATGACAATATGGAGCAAAATCTCTGAGGAATATTTCCAGTAGCTTGCTGAATCTATAACACCAAGGATTAGGGCAGTTCTGAAGGCAAAAGGTGTTCAAATCCGGTACTAGTAAGGTGTACCTAATAAAGTGGCCAGTGAGTGTACATGGTTAAAATTATATAACCTATACATTATATAAGCTATAAACATGGTTGAGCTCTGCAGTATAGTGGGCATCCAGGAGCACTATTTTTGTAATGTACATATTATATTTTAAAATGACTATTTTTCACTGAAGAAGTGATATTAGACACTTCTACATCATTAATAATATCATCATAAAGAATATCGTTACTGCCCATCCCTATTCTCCAATCAGATTCAGCAAGTGTTGTGATCACTGAAGCTGACCTCTGTTGGCCATGGCGGTCTCGATGATGTCCAGCGTAGGGTCGTCCTCACAGAGGTCATAGGGCATGTTCCCGTCAGAGTTCACTGCTAGCAGATCAGCACCACTAAACACAGACAATACACAGTTTAAATATACAGATGATCCTAGAATTGCAGGTTCATTTTGCTTCTCAATTTTAAATCTATTATTTTTCAAAAACTTTAATAATGAACAGTAACACATTACATCAAGTTTTCTGTAAAAAATGTTTAAATGTGTATTTACAGACATCTCTTGTAAATATGAGCTTATTTGCCTATTTTGAATCATACATCCAGCTTCAATTACCCCTCATCATATAATTAAATAAAAAAATTTGTGTTATCCTCATCTCTATTATTATCAACTTAGTTATCGTCAACTCTGTCACGTCACACTGTAATCGTCAACTCTGTCACCATCACACTGTAATCATCAACTCTGTCACGTCTCACTGTAATCGTCAACTCTTTCACGTCAAGCTGTAATCATCAACTCTGTCACCATCACACTGTAATCGTCAACTCTGTCACCATCACACTGTAATCATCAACTCTTTCACGTCAAACTGTAATCATCAACTCTGTCACCATCACACTGTAATCGTCAACTCTTTCACGTCACACTGTAATCGTCAACTCTGTCACCGTCACACTGTAATCGTCAACTCTTTCACGTCACACTGTAATCGTCAAGACTGTCACCATCACACTGTAATCGTCAACTCTTTCACGTCACACTGTAATCGTCAACTCTTTCACGTCACACTGTAATCGTCAACACTGTCACGTCACACTGTAATCGTCAACTCTTTCACGTCACACTGTAATCGTCAATTCTGTCACGTCACACTGTAATCGTCAATTCTGTCACGTCACACTGTAATCGTCAACTCTGTCACCATCACACTGTAATCGTCAACACTGTCACGTCACACTGTAATCGTCAACTCTTTCACGTCACACTGTAATCGTCAACTCTTTCACGTCACACTGTAATCGTCAACTCTGTCACCATCACACTGTAATCGTCAACACTGTCACGTCACACTGTAATCGTCAATTCTGTCACGTCACACTGTAATCGTCAACTCTTTCACGTCACACTGTAATCGTCAACTCTTTCACGTCACACTGTAATCGTCAACTCTGTCACCATCACACTGTAATCGTCAACTCTTTCACGTCACACTGTAATCGTCAACTCTGTCACCATCACACTGTAATCGTCAACTCTTTCACGTCACACTGTAATCGTCAAGACTGTCACCATCACACTGTAATCGTCAACTCTTTCACGTCACACTGTAATCGTCAACTCTTTCACGTCACACTGTAATCGTCAACTCTGTCACCATCACACTGTAATCGTCAACACTGTCACGTCACACTGTAATCGTCAACTCTTTCACGTCACACTGTAATCGTCAATTCTGTCACGTCACACTGTAATCGTCAATTCTGTCACGTCACACTGTAATCGTCAACTCTGTCACCATCACACTGTAATCGTCAACACTGTCACGTCACACTGTAATCGTCAATTCTGTCACGTCACACTGTAATCGTCAACTCTTTCACGTCACACTGTAATCGTCAATTCTGTCACGTCACACTGTAATCGTCAATTCTGTCACGTCACACTGTAATCGTCAACTGTTACCGTCAACACACTGTCACCATCACACTGTAATCGTCAACACTGTCACGTCACACTGTAATCGTCAACTCTTTCACGTCACACTGTAATCGTCAATTCTGTCACCATCACACTGTAATCGTCAATTCTGTCACGTCACACTGTAATCGTCAACTCTGTCACCATCACACTGTAATCGTCAACACTGTCACGTCACACTGTAATCCTCAACTCTTTCACGTCACACTGTAATCGTCAATTCTGTCACGTCACACTGTAATCGCCAACACTGTCACGTCACACTGTAATCGTCAACTCTTTCACGTCACACTGTAATCATCAACTCTTTCACGTCACACTGTAATCGTCAACTCTTTCACGTCACACTGTAATCGTCAACTCTGTCACCATCACACTGTAATCGTCAACTCTTTCACGTCACACTGTAATCGTCAACTCTGTCACCATCACACTGTAATCGTCAACTCTTTCACGTCACACTGTAATCGTCAATTCTGTCACGTCACACTGTAATCGTCAACTCTTTCACGTCACACTGTAATCGTCAACTCTTTCACGTCACACTGTAATCGTCAAGACTGTCACCATCACACTGTAATCGTCAACTCTTTCACGTCACACTGTAATCGTCAACTCTTTCACGTCACACTGTAATCGTCAACACTGTCACCATCACACTGTAATCGTCAACACTGTCACGTCACACTGTAATCGTCAACTCTTTCACGTCACACTGTAATCATCAACTCTTTCACGTCACACTGTAATCGTCAATTCTGTCACGTCACACTGTAATCGTCAACTCTTTCACGTCACACTGTAATCGTCAACTCTGTCACCATCACACTGTAATCGTCAACTCTTTCACGTCACACTGTAATCGTCAACACTGTCACCATCACACTGTAATCGTCAACACTGTCACGTCACACTGTAATCGTCAACTCTTTCACGTCACACTGTAATCGTCAACACTGTCACGTCACACTGTAATCGTCAATTCTGTCACGTCACACTGTAATCGTCAACTCTGTCACCATCACACTGTAATCGTCAACACTGTCACGTCACACTGTAATCGTCAACTCTTTCACGTCACACTGTAATCGTCAATTCTGTCACGTCACACTGTAATCGTCAATTCTGTCACCATCACACTGTAATCGTCAACTCTTTCACGTCAACTCTGTAATCGTCAACTCTGTCACCGTCACACTGTAATCGTCAACTCTTTCACGTCACACTGTAATCGTCAAGACTGTCACCATCACACTGTAATCGTCAACTCTTTCACGTCACACTGTAATCGTCAACTCTTTCACGTCACACTGTAATCGTCAACACTGTCACCATCACACTGTAATCGTCAACACTGTCACCGTCACACTGTAATCGTCAACTCTTTCACCATCACACTGTAATCGTCAATTCTGTCACGTCACACTGTAATCGTCAACACTGTCACGTCACACTGTAATCGTCAATTCTGTCACCATCACACTGTAATCGTCAACTCTTTCACGTCACACTGTAATCGTCAATTCTGTCACGTCACACTGTAATCGTCAACTCTGTCACCATCACACTGTAATCGTCAACACTGTCACGTCACACTGTAATCGTCAACTCTTTCACGTCACACTGTAATCGTCAACTCTTGTCACGTCACACTGTAATCGTCAACTCTGTCACGTCACACTGTAATCGTCAACTCTGTCACCATCACACTGTAATCGTCAACTCTGTCACCATCACACTGTAATCGTCAACTCTTTCACGTCACACTGTAATCGTCAAGACTGTCACCATCACACTGTAATCGTCAACTCTTTCACGTCACACTGTAATCGTCAACTCTTTCACGTCACACTGTAATCGTCAACTCTGTCACCATCACACTGTAATCGTCAACACTGTCACGTCACACTGTAATCGTCAACTCTTTTACGTCACACTGTAATCGTCAATTCTGTCACGTCACACTGTAATCGTCAACTCTTTCACGTCACACTGTAATCGTCAATTCTGTCACCATCACACTGTAATCGTCAACTCTGTCACGTCACACTGTAATCGTCAATTCTTTCACGTCACACTGTAATCGTCAATTCTGTCACGTCACACTGTAATCGTCAACTGTTACCGTCAACTCTGTCACCATCAACTCTGTACTGATCAACTAAAATATGTTTTATATCATTCCAGTTTGGTAAATGAATATGTTTGAAATGTATCTGTGACAGTGTCGTGTTGAGGAATAATCAGACAGGAGACTCACTGCTGGATGAGGATTTTGACCAGGCCGGTGTGTCCACATGTGGCTGCGGCATGCAGCGGTGTCCAGAGCTCGTTGTCCTGAGCGTTTACAGTCGCACCATGAGTGAGCAGAATCTGCACCATCTCCTCATAGTTAT